AACCAAGGAACTCTGGATGGGGAGGGACAGACAAAGGAAGGACGGACTTAATCACAGGTGGACAAAGAGCTGTAATGCTCATCTTTTGACTAACTCCATCAGATTACCCACACTAGAGTGATTATGTTTGGGTGCCCTTAAGAGGCCAGAAGAGGCGATCACATGCCACTGGAGCTGGAGTTATAGGTAGTAATGAGGCATCTGGCTTGCTTGCTGGGAACTGAGCTCGGGTCCGCGGGTCTTCTGGGCAATCAGTCTGTTAACTTCTGAGCCATCTCTACAGCCCCCCTCTGCCCCAATAATTCTTTTACTGTGTAGGCTGTTTGTGCATTGCTGGGTGTTGAGCAACATCCCTTCCTCCACTAAATAGATGCCAAGGTGCCTCCCTCTCTCCCACAGGTGGGAATCAAGATAGTTCCAAACCTGGGGAGGTGTGTCTGCAGTGCATGGTGGGAGGGACAGGGATGTGAGGTCACTGAGAACTATTGCTATAAAGATGGTCATAGGCTCGATTTCACTTCTGGGAGAAATTTTGAAAGTTTTTAGTATCCAAAAGTCTTTAACGAAAACACAGATGTGGGAGCTGCTGACCCTCTAAGTTACGAGTCTACCTTCTTCCTTAGGAAACCAGTTCCCTAGGCCTGAGATTATTTCACACCTGGAAGAGGAGGAGCCTCAAGCAATGGAGGAAGACAGCAACAGAGTAACCATTAAAAGTGAGTGGTGAGGGGACAGCCTAAGAGGATGGGATTGCAGGAAGGTAGCGAGCGACTGGCCCATCCATCAGGAGGAGGTCCAGGAGTTGCTAGTCAGCGGCATCCCTCAAAACCCTCCCGGCCAGGAGGACAGCCAGCGTTGCTCCCCCTGAGGCTCAGTCTCCTGACTGCTTGTCCTCGTGTCCTTTCTGGAGCCCATCTCTGGTCAGCGTGCGTTCCTCTACTGCCCACTCCAGGGAGGGTGTTTCTGCCTCTCTAGAGGAAGTAGTATTACCTCTTTAGAGCTGTGCCCCGTACATGGTGACCACGTGCAGGGAAAAACCAACTACCTAGCATTATGTACAATTTTAAGATGTAGTTTCTTCGGTCATACATTTTACATGTTTGACGGTCACGTGGAACTCATGAGTATTAAACTAGCAAAATCAGAGAATTTTCTCATCATGGTAGGGAGTTCTATTGGTCGTACTATTCTAGAAAAATCCACATGAACAAGACATGGTGCTGCACATAACCTCAACTCTCAGGAGTGTGAGGCAGGATGATCTTGAGTTCAAGACCAGCCTCTGCTTCTGGCTTCCAAGGACTGTATATTTCTTCAGCCTGTGTCTTTGCTCAGGCTCTGGGCTAATCTTGCAACTCTCTTTTTTCTTCTAAGTGAGCCCAGCTTCCGTTGTCTCCACTAATGTTTCCACTGGATCAGTTTGTGTCCCTCTGCAGTCATTTTAGTCTAAGTGGAGTCTTTTTTTCCTCCAGATTCATTCATATATATATAGAGAGAGAGAGGGAGCGAAGGAGGGAGGGGGGAGAGAGAGACAGAGAGAATATCTCCCTGTATCAGCAGGTTCTGGAGCTTACTATGTAGACCAGACTTCTCAAAACATCCACCTGCCTCTTCCTCCAAAGCGATGGGCCTGAAGGTGTGCACCACCGTGCCCAGCTTTTCTCCAGACTTGATACTCCTCTGGTTGGGACACAGTGCCGTTCATGAAATGGCATTTGATGCTGACTTGAACAGAATCAGTTGTCAAGTAGTAGAGATTAAATAAAACGAGAGACCAGGAGCTGAGCAGACTTGGAATCCTGCTGCTTTCTTCTGAGCAGGGGGAGGTTGACATCCTCATTGCCTGGTCCCTCAGTGGTCCTGCAGGACTGTGGTAGCAGGTGTTCTCAGATGGATGCCTGACAAGGGCTGCAATCCGTGCCTTCCCTCTTTAGGGGTGCAGGGGCACAGCAAAGACACAGAAAGCCCTATGGGAATGAGGTACACATGAAACAGCTACTGTGCTTTCCACATACGGGTGATGGACTGAGCACGGTTTTGGAAATGCTGGTGAATGGTGACGTGTGCATTGTGGTCTTCATTCTGTTCTGTGTCAGTGGTGTTTTCATCAGCATAGAGCCCCAACACGGAATCTGTGCACACTTTGTTGCTTATTTTCCTGCCCATTCTTTTGTGATCTTTATTCTTTACGTTCGTTTCCAGACCTTAACCTGCAAAAGGTCATGTGGGTCAGTTTCCATCTGTTTCTCCCGTAATGATGTGTGTTTCTGAGTAAGAAGATGAGGAGACTTTATGGTATTTCTGTATCTGGAGAAGATCCCTGAAAGCCAAGAACTGACCCCAGAGCAGAGTGCCCTGTAGAAGAACCAGCCATAGCACAGGGAGGGATGGTCTCCCAGTAGGTAACTTCTGCTGTGTCTTTGTAGGAGAATCTTCTGACGATCCATGGGAACCACAGCAGGACAGCCAGGAAGAGCTGGTCCTCAGTCCTGTGACAGAGAGTGACACCGGGACCTTCCCTGAGGAAGGAGGCCTTGGCGGTGAGGAAGATGAGGAGCGCTCTGATCTCTCCAGTCCTCAGGGAATGGAGCCCCTGGAAACCTCAACTCCTGGAACCAGCGCCAGCCCTGAGCCGATGGAACCCATCAGATGCAGTGTGTGTCAGAGAGTCTTTAAGACCCAAGCAGACCTCAGGAGGCACGAGTCATTCCACTTAGGAATACGGCCCTTTAAATGTTCCCATTGTGACACAGCCTTCTTCCTCAAGCCCCACCTCAACAGACATCTCAAGAGTCATCATGGTGAAAGGCCTGAGGAGTGTAATGTAGGTAAGAAATCTTCCCCCAGCTTGTAAAAGCCCCTGGGTGGGTGACAAGAGTCAGGCCGAGTTCTATGAATGTCTCGAGTGTGGCAAAGCTTTCATCCACCGGGTGCATCTCTCTCAGCATGTCAGAGCCCATGAGTTGACAAAGTCTCTTTCCCCTGCGATGCACCGTAGGACACATAAGGCCTGAGGAGTGTAATGTAGGTAAGAAATCTTCCCCCAGCTTGTAAAAGCCCCTGGGTGGGTGACAAGAGTCAGGCCGAGTTCTATGAATGTCTCGAGTGTGGCAAAGCTTTCATCCACCGGGTGCATCTCTCTCAGCATGTCAGAGCCCATGAGTTGACAAAGTCTCTTTCCCCTGCGATGCACCGTAGGACACATGTCATTCGCTATCAGCGGAAACATGGCTATGTGGGGGAGAGAGCCTGCCAGTGCTGTGACTGTGGCCGAGCTTTCAGTCAGAGCTCCTATCTGGTCCAGCACTGCGGAGTTCATGCTCATGATATTCCTTACCAATGCCAGCTCTGTGGGATGTGTTTCACCAACCCCTCCCACCTCACTCAGCACTACCAGCTCAATCCACCAGAGATACCATTTGGGGGGGAGCTAGTGTTGAAACCCTCAGGGATCACACTTTCCTTAACTTTCTTTGAGAAACACTTGTTTTGCAATTCTCTTGCAGGCTATAAAGCCGTTGCTCATCAAGGAGAAGTTATTTGGTAATATTTTAAGGGTTTGTGGCTTACTATTATAAAAAGAAAGCTTTTGGCCAGATGTGGTGGTACAATGTTTTTAATCCCAGCACTTGGGAGGCAGAGGCAGGCAGATCTCTGTGAGGTCAAGGCCAGCCTGGTCTACATAGTGAGTTCCAGGACACCTGGAGCTACAGGAGACCCTGTGTCAAGAAGTCCAAAAAAAAAATTTAAAAAAAAGAAAGCTTTTATGCATTATTTCTGTTTCCTTCTCTCTGGGACCATCAGCATATCTAGTGTCAATTAAGAGCTTATTTCTATACTAGGCCTGCATCGTGATTTAAAGGTTAAGCCCCAAATTCCATTAAATATCTCTTTTTAAAGAGATATTTGCATATTTATATGTATTTTACATATTTATATGTATGAGTGTATTGTAGGCATGTGATATTTTACATATTTATATGTATGAGTATATTGTAGGCATGTGTGGAAGTGCACCCGTGTTGTGCAGTGTCTGCGGAAGTCAGAGGAGGACCTTAGATCCCTTGGATCTTGTGATATGGGTAGTTCTTAACTACCATGTGGGTGCTGGGAACTGAACCCTGATCTTCTGCAAGAGCAGCCAATGCTCTTAACCTCTGAGCTGTCTTTCCAGCCCGTTTTAAATATTTTATTTATTATTTTTATTCTACATGTATGGGTGTATTGCCTGTGTATATGTAAGTGCACCTCTGACGTGCAGTGCCTTCAGAGTTCAGAAAAGATTGTCTGATCCCCTGGAACTGGAGTTATGGATGGTTAGGTGCCTTTTGGGTGCTAGAAATTGAACCTGGGTCCTCTGCAAGAGCAGCCAGTGCTCTTAACTGCTGAGACATCGCTCTAGCCCCCGAAATCTCTTTCTTGCCTCATCGTGAAGGTCCTGAAATCTTTCCATTGCCTATTTGAATGGTGATTTACACAGACATACACAGCAGGAATCACAGAGCTGGATTCTGTGCCTGAGAAGGATGAGCCTTTGCTATTGTGATTGACTGATTTGCCTTCTCTCATTAACCCATTTTTTTGAGGTTGACCTCAGTATCCCCTGTAGAATTTCGAAATCCGCAACAAGTATGAGTTCCCTGAATTCAGTGACACAATCCCCTGCATCTTCAATGGTAGAGGGTTTTATTGGGCGCGGGGGAACACCTTTGTTCCTCCTGCCTCGTATCAGCCTTGTCTCCAGACACTGAGCTTAGTGGTTGTGGCTCATTCTTGGTGGTTCTGGGTGTGGCTTCCTGATGTCCCGGTACGCATTTAAAACTACTTCGTAATTTCTGACAAATAGACTCCTGTACACAGTGTGCTCTGCTCGTGGTCACCCCACGGCCCTCTCTTGTCCTGGCCCACTCCCGCTGACCTCTTCATCTTTCTCTTTTCTTTCCATGGCTTTTTTCTGTGCAATACAGATTTTTGAAGGATTAATTTTCTTTTTCATTGTGAAGTAATATTTGGTTCATTACAGACAACTTCTACCTTACCAAAGGCATATCAGATTTTCCCTCCCCCCCCAGAAAGTAAAGATAAATATACCATGAACACCACCAATTTTTAGTATATTTTGGTATGATAATAAATACCAGATTTAAAAAGGTTATTGCATCTGGGAAGTGGTGGAGAAAGAGAGGTGGGAAAAGATCTTTATATGGATCTCTGTTCCTATTTTGTGCATTTTATACAATATATCTTAATCATATTTAGACCTCTTCCCTTATCTGCACCCCCTAAAGCATGCCCAGCAGATTTCTTGTGTTCTGTCATGCACGTTAAGGCCTAGATAGTCAAGTTTGTGCACCCAGATGTCCCTTGGTGTGAGTTCTTCCACTGGAGGCCATTCAGTCTGTCTAGCATCACTCCCTTAAAGAAGACCAACTCTCCCTCTGTTCTCCTTTTATTAAACCCGTGTGGTTATCACCTTTTTAACTTAAATTATGTGTTTGTGGTGGCGGGGGGGAGTATGTGCACACGTGTGCAATGCCTGCAGAGGCCTTAAGAGGACAGTTGGTCCCCTAGAACTGGAGCTCCAGGTGAGCCACGTGATGAGGGTGCTGGGAACTGAACTCCGGCAAGAATAGTGCAGGCTCTGAACTGCTGAGCCGTCTCTGCAGCCCCAGTGATGACCTGTTTTGATGTGTTTAGAATTGTCATGTAGCTTTCACCATTACTTTTAACGCAATAGCATAGGTAATTCTTCAAGTGAATACACCTTCTTACACCTTGCAGACATGTGGTTATCCACCACTCACTGTCACTAAGACCTCTTTAGTGGTGCGAGACAGATCAGTTTTTCTCTATGTGAGGCCATTCCTCCTGTTTGAATGTCAATTTGATTTGGGTTTTCAGTAATTATAAACAAGACTGTAATGATCATTCAGCACTTAGATTTCTTTTAAAATAAAGGCTTGTTTTCTTTTTCCTTCTCTTCTTGATCTTTTGAGACACAGTCTCACTATGCAGTCCAGGCTGGCCTGGAAGTGGCTATGCAGACCAGGCTGGTCTAGAACACATGGAGAGTCAGTTCTCTCCCTCTACCCAGTGTGTCACAGGGATAGAATTCAGGTCATCAGTCCAGGCAGCAAACACCTTTATCTGCTGGGCCATGTCACCTGACTGAGTATTAATATCGTTCATTTAATCTTAGGATCTAGGAATATTATATTGCTCTTTGAGGTATTCAACCTTTAGTATGACTCAGAAGTTCTGTAGTTTCGTCTCATAAGGGCACTCTTCCATGGTTTTACAGATGTGGGTTTTACTGAGTACATGTTTTCCTTTCATTCCTCATTAAAAAAACACATCAGCTCAGGAACAGGGTTACTTCTATATTCCCAAGGAACTCTGAAATTTCATTGCCAGATATTTAGATGCATTAATGGTATCTCCCAAGATAACCCTCCACTGCATGATTCAAGCCATCCTAACCCCATGCTTGCAAAAGTAGGGGCTTCTTCTCTTTAAATACACTTAAGCAGCTATTGTATTTTTCCTGGGACGATGCACAAAATTGTCTCCTAACTCCAGGAAGGAAAGTGACAGAGAGAGAAACCTCCATCCTGGTCCTCTCAGCAACCAATGAGTCTCCTGGGAATACTCAGCAGCATGCCTGAGGGGTTACTTACAGGAACATGGAGGATGCCTTGGGCATCTTCACCTCCAGAATGCCCACTCCAGCATCGGCAGTGTCTCCTAAAAGCGGTGTGACTGGAATTCCCTGAATCTGAATCGTGGACGAATCTCTAGTCTTTAACCTCAGGGAGGAGGCTTGGTTGGCCTTCTACCTTTCTTGCAGGTCGCATGACCTTCCCCAGTCCACCTGATTCCTCCACCAGTGACTTGTTTCATACTAGAGGAAACTCAACACTAGAAGGCACACAGCCTTACTGTGTTGTCTTTATTCATTCAGTTAAAAAATGGGTGTTTGGATGCTGAGAAATGAACTCGGGTCCTCTACAGAGTAGCGATCGTGTTTAACTGCTAAGATCTGACCTAAGGTCAGTCCCCAGCATCCTGACCTGGGTGCACAAATGCCTGTAACTACAGGTTCAGGGGATCCAGTGTTTTCTGCTGGTCTTCATGGGCACCTGCACCCAGTTACACATATACACACAAACACATACACACATAATTGAAAATAAAAAATAAATCATTAAAAGATGGTGGCTGAAGATGCTTTTGAAATGCTAATAAAACTGAAGACCATCCAGGAAAATGCATAGAAGGTTAGGAGTGTGGATGCATATAAATATATGTCCACACAATATAACGGTTACGTTGGGTTCAGCTGTTTAGCAGCCCTAATCATAAGCTTAGAATCTTTTTTCCTCGGCAGTTGCATTTTGGAAAATCTCATATTCATGGGACAGTGATGCCTTGAGCAACAGACATACCTTCAGAGGAACACAGCCCCACATATCAAGGAGTAATCATTGGATTTAGATACACGTTGCATTGATTTCATTTATGCTCTGAGATTCCAAACACATGCACGCACGCACACACACAGCATTCAGTCCACAGGTTCTTTATGCTGAACAACCTTAGTTACTGTGGACTCTGTTGTGATACTAATTCGTTTATTTTTGCCAATGGCCTTGCTTTCCTTTGTAGGATTATATAAAGGGTCCATGTAAAGTACATGCATAGACATTGAAAACTAATCTGCAGAAAAATGCCAGATATTATATGCTGCTATAAATATTTCCTACATACACATAATGGAATACCATTCATTAGTGAAGTCACACAGTTCCTGGTTTTGGAATTACATTATGAATCAAAAATAAATGTTGTCGTGTTGCAACTGGGTTCTGTATTTGAGTCAGAAGAGGCAAATAATAGACATGTTCATAATTAGGTGGCATATTCATGATTGGTGCCCACAGGGAACCAAGGAACCAAGGAGTGGGAGGAACGGGGAAAGGAAGGGTGGGTTATCACAGGACAAGGAACTTCAGTGGTTACCTTTGAATAACTCCATCAGATTACACTAAAGTGCAGTATGTGTGGGTGCCCACAGAGGTCAGAAGAGGCCATTCAGGTGCCCCTGGAGCTGCAGTTATAGGTAGTAGTGAGCTTTCTGACTTGTTTGCTGGGAGCTGAACTCAGGTCCTCAGGTCCTCTGGAAGAGCACTGTGTTAAGCTGTGAGCCCTCTCTCCAGCCCCACAACCCCAGCTCAATCATTATTTTACTGTATAGGCTATTCGTTCATTGCTGGATGTTGATCCACAACCTGGCTCCACTAGCTAGATGCCACTGGTCCCTCCATCTCTCCCACAGGTGGGACAAGATAGCTCCACACCTGGTGAGGTGTCTGCAGTGTGTGTGGCAGGGAGGGATGGGGTTTAAAGTCTTTGAGAAACCGTGCTTTAAAGTATTGTCATGGCCTTGATTTCACTTCTGTGTGAGTTTTTGCATTTTTTTTTGTTGTTGTTTTTTATAATCCTAAAGTCTTTAACACAGAGACTGGGGAGCTGCTGAGCCTCTAAATTATGAGTCTTCCTTCTTCCCCAGGAAACCAGTTCCCTAGGCCTGAGATTATTTCACACCTGGAAGAGGAGGAGCCTCAAGCAATGGAGGAAGACAACAACAGAGTAACCATTAAAAGTGAGTGGTGAGGGGACAGCCTAAGAGGATGGGTTTGCAGGAAGGTAGCGAGCGACTGGCCCATCCATCAGGAGGAGGTCCGGGAGTTGCTGGTCAGTGGCATCCCTCAAAACCCTCCCAGCCAGGAGGACAGCCAGCGTTGCTCCCCCTGAGGCTCAGTCTCCTGACTGCTTGTCCTCGTGTCCTTTCGGAAGCCTATCTCTGGGCAGCGTGCGTTCTTCCACTGCCCACTCCAGGGAGGGTGTTTCTGCCTCTCTAGAGGGAGTAGTATTACCTCTTTAGAGCTGTGCCCCGTACATGGTGACCACGTGCAGAGAAATACCAACTACCTAGCATTATGTACAATTTTAACATGTAGTTTCTTCGGTCATACATTTTACATGTTTGACGGTCACGTGGAACTCATGAGTATTAACCTAGCAAAATCAGAGAACCTTCTCATCAAGGTAGGGAGTTCTGTTGGTCGTACTATTCTAGAAAAATCCATGTGGATAAGACATGGTGCTGCACATAACCTCAGCTCTCAGGAGTCTGAGGCAGGAGGATCTTGAGTTCAAGACCAGCCTCTGCTTCTGGCTTCCAAGGACTGTATATTTCTTCAGCCTGTGTCTTTGCTCAGGCTCTGGGCTAATCTTGCAACTCTCTTTTTTCTTCTAAGTGAGCCCAGCTGTCGTTCTCTCCACTAATGTTTCCACTGGATCAGTTTGTGTGCCTCTGCAGTCATTTTAGTGTGAGTGGAGTCTTCTTTTTCCTCCAGATTCATTTATATATATATAGAGAGAGAGAGGGAGGGAAGGAGGGAGAGAGAGAGAGAGAGAAAGAGAGAGAGAGAGAGAGAGAGAGAGAGAGAGAGCGAGAGAGAGAGAATATCTCCCTGTATCAGCAGGTTCTGGAGCTTACTATGTAGACCAGACTTCTCAAAACATCCATCTGCCTCTTCCTCCAAAGCGATGGGCCTGAAGGTGTACACCACCATGCCCAGCTTTTCTCCAGACTTGATACTCCTCTGGTTGGGACACAATGCCATTCATGAAATGGCATTTGATGCTGACTTGAACAAAATCAGTTGTCAAGTAGTAGAGAGTAAATAAAACAAGAGACCAAGAGCTGAGCAGACTTGGAATCCTGCTGCTTTCTTCTGAGCAGGGGGAGGTTGACATCCTCATTGCCTGGTCCCTCAGTGGTCCTGCAGGACTGTGGTAGCAGGTGTTCTCAGATGGATGCCTGACAAGGGCTGCAATCCGTGCCTTCCCTCTTTAGGGGTGCAGGGGCACAGCAAAGACACAGAAAGCCCTATGGGAATGAGGTACACATG